TGCCATTTTTGTAGCACAAATACAAAAAGGGGGAATTGTCAGGGATTGCAGCTGGTCTGTGAAATCCCTGGTTCCCTTAGCAGAGAACGTTAACCTTGAAAAGATTAGAGTGTATCTATGAGATAGGGAGTTCACACGGAGACAGCAGAAAGTTATTAACAAGTTTAAGGAGGTTTGGCTACAGAGCAGAAACTGGCCAAGCTAAGAATCATCCAATCATAACTCTGTCACTAGCTACTGTTCTTTGTAGTCCTCACCAATAAGCAGCAGCCACAACGAGGAGAGCTCGGTATAAATAATGTACCTAAAAAACAATAAAGCATAGTTTGCGTTGCATCTACCCCAGTTGTTTGTGTTTTTGGCTGCCACGACTGCGACACCTCTTGTACTGGGGAGCCCAGAACTGGACACAGTACTCCAGATGTGGCCTCACCAGGGCTGAGTAGAGGGGGAGGATCACCTCCCTCGACGTGCTGGAGATGTTCTTCTTAACACACCCCAGAATTCCAGTGGCCTTCTTGGCTGCAAGGGCCCACTGCTGCCTCATGGTCAACTTGTCATCCACCAGGACACCCAGGTCCTTCTCTGCAGAGCTGCTCTCCAGAAGGTCAGTCCCCAGCCTGTACTGGTGTCTGGGGTTATTCCTCCCCAGGTGCAGGACCTTGCACTTGGCCTTGTTGAATTGCATGAGGTTTTTCACCGCCCAGTTGTCCAGTCTGTCCAGGTCCCTCTGGATGGCAGCACAGCCCTCTGGGGTATCGGCTACTCCTCCCAGTTTGGCATCACCAGCAAACTTGCTGAGGGAGCACTCTGTGCCTTCATCCAGGTCATTGATGAATAAATTGAACAGGACTGGACCGAGCACTGACCCCTTGTATAGGAGGTGGAAATTTGTATGATCTGTAACTTCATAAAACTATTGTGCAAAACTTTGAGAAAGATGATGTTTGCCCACCTGGGCTGAGCAATAAGGAGCACAGAGGCGGCTGCTCAGCCAGGTTCACAACCAATCCCCTCCAATACCAGTTGAAGGCAGCCGCTCGACTGGGCTTGTAGCCAACTTAATCGCAGATGTCCTCTAAACTGGTTTTAAGGTCAAACACCCAGGAAGGAGGAAGAAGATGAGGAAGGCAGGACCCTCAGACTGAGGGCTGGGACCCCCTACTGGTTTGTGCACATGCACACCCAGGAGGGAAGGTTATGTGACTGAAGGTAGAGTTTGTCCACCCCCCGGCCAGCCTCCTGGCATGTACTGGCCCTACGTGGCAGGATGCAGCGAGCAAAAAAACCTCCTAACACTGAGTCCTATGTTGTCTCCGCGGGGATGCCCACCAAGTTAGGAGCCTGTCAGTAACCCTCTAATCTGCCAGCTCGAGAGGATGTTCGGTCTCAGGGTTCTGCTGGCAAGTATTACCTCGTGTGTAACTATCCATACTTTGCTTCTTTAATGTGTTTTCACCTTAATAAAGGCTCGACATAGCCACCTCATTTTGTGTGATTATTGCCGAATCCAGAGCCCATCTGCAACACCCCTGGGGGACACTGCTAACTATAGGCCTCCAACTAGACTGCGCTGCTGATCACCACCCTCTGAGCTCTGCCAGCCAGCCAGTCCTCAATCCACCTCACTGTCCACTCATCTATCCCACACTTCTGGAGCTTGCCCAGGAGGATGTTGTGAGGGCCTTGGTGAAATCCAGATATATGACATCCATTGTTGTCCCCTCATCTACCCAACCAGTCATTCCATCATAGAAGGCTATCAGGTTAGTCAAGCATGATTTCCCCTTGGTGAATCCATGCTGACTACTCTCGAGCACCTTCTTATCCTCCACAGGTTTGGAGACAACAGCCAGGATGAGCTGTTCCATGACTTTTCCAGGGATGGAGGTGAGGCCGACTGGCCTGTAATTACCTGGGTCCTCCTTCTTGCCTTTTTTGAAGACTGGTGTGACTTTGGCTTTCTTCCACTCCTCATCCACCTCTCCCTTTCTCCAGGACCTTTCAAAGATGATGGAGAGTGGCTTAGCAATAACATCTGCCAACTCCTGCAGCACTCTGGGGTCCATGGATTTGTGGGTATCAAGTTTCCCTAAGAGCTCTCTGACCCAATCTTCCTCTACCTCTTCTTTTGTCTCTAGGGTCTGGGATTCCAGAGGGTTGCCCATGGTAAACACTGAAGCCAAGAAGGCATTCAGTAACTCTGCTTTTTCTGTGTCTTTTGTAACCAGGGCACCCACCTCTTTCACCAGCGGACCCACCTTTTCCCTAATCTTCCTTTTGCCGCTGATATATTTGAAGAAGCTCTTGTTATCTTTAACATCTCTTGCCAGATTTAATTCCAAATGCGCCTTAGTCTTCCTTGTTGCATCCCTGCATTCCCTGACAACATTCCTATATTCCTCCCAAGGGGCCTCTCTTTTTTTCCACATTCTGTATACTGCCTTCTTCTGTTTGAGTTTTGCCAGGAGCTCCTTGCTCATCCACGCAGGCCTCCTGCCCCCCTGCCTGACTTCTTACTCATAGGGATCCACCCATCTTGAGCTTGGAGGAAGTGATGCTTCAATTCAGACACTGCCATTACTGATAGAGAGAATTAATCTTGTTTTATTTTCTCCCTCAGAATGACTGTATTCTATAAACCTGATCTTATACTTCTGAAGCCATGGGCAAGCCTGCTATCAACACGAATAAAACAGTTCTAGACCTAAAAATACCACTTCCCTTCCAGATTTGTATACAACAGCATAGAAATATGTTCCTTATTCCTCAAAGAAATAACATTAGAATTTGCAACTGGCATGGATAGTGTAATTAAACTTAACATAGAAGTCAAATACTCAATGTACAAGATCAGTTCACAGAAGTTTTTTTTTTCTGGTAGTGAAAGGCTTGGTATTAAGTACTTTCATATCTATAAAAGAATCTATCGTCTCTCTCTACTTCTGTTTTCTGTCCAAAATCCAGCTATGTATCATGCTACACAATACTGATTCACTCAGTACATATTTTTTATCCTTTTTCCCTTCTCTGTCTGACCATATGGTGGTTTTAAATCAGGTGGGTTAAATAATCCTGAAAGGAAAAACAACTCTTCTTAGCAATTCCTCTGAATATAGAACTAATATTTTTCAGAGTATTCTGCTTCAGTTTTGGTGGAGTAACGAGATGACCTTTTCCATTAGTTTTATGACATATGTCTATTATGGTCTATTATGTCATCTCTTATTTCTTTTCCTTCCTAAACTAAACAGCCTTACTCTTTATATAACTGTTTCAATGAGCATTTTCTGTTGTAATCATTTCCATTGCCCTTTCCTAGAGTCTTTCATTTCTCTTCTATTATATGATATTTTCTCATCTGAGATAGGTTGGCCAGAACAGAACATTGTGTTCAAAAGAAGAGAATTTCTGTGATTTGTTTTTTAAAATAACATTAGACCACTCTCAATTTTATTTCTTGTACCTTTCCTAAAATAACCTAGCATTTTGGTTCCTGCTTTTTTTTTTTCCCTCATTGCTGTATATGCTGAAGATTCATCCTTTTTTCATCCAGTTCATCCAATTCATCCTTTTTTTCTTTCTTCTTGGATAGATGCTATCCATTATAGTTTTTCTATCTTGATAATTCTTGTTGCTTTTCCTTTTTTATGTATCCATTTGACTACATTCTTTGTGAGACAGAGAAAATACTTTCTGCAATGTTGAAGAAGGGACTATAGAGCAGATTTTTATACATTGGCATAAAGAGATTTTCTGTTTTATTTTCACAGCCTTTCCTAATAGCTCTTAACATGAACACTTGCCTTTTTCTATTGGCATTGAACTGACTTTTTATAGAACTATTCACAATGAGAAGCCTTCTTTCCTGAGCCAGTTTACAACCTATTGCTGTACATGTATAATTAGGACTTCTTTTCTGCGTGTGCATTACTTTGCATTTATAGACACTGAGTTTCATCTGCTGTTTTTATCACCCAGTCTCTCAGTTTTGTGAGATTATTCTGCAACTCTTTGCAGATAAACGCAAATATTATAGGCTTGAGAAAAGGAATGAAAAGCTATTCTGGTGAGAATCTGTGTCCTGACACAGTAAAAGTACAAGTGCACATCTTGGATGAGCATGGACATGCTCAGAACATGGTCCTGGCTGTTCAATTGCTCACTGTTATAGTCAACCAGACTCAAATGGTCCCACTTAAGGTCTGAAAAGCTCCTGCTGATTTTACTGGGGCCAAGATTTTCCCAAAGCATTTCTGATCCAAGGAGAACGTCACTGAAATAGGAATTCATGTGAGTTTGAAATCAGCTTTGTACAGTTGCCTCCGAGAAAAAGGGCTGTCAAAAGAAAATGGAGCAGCCTTCAACTCTCTGTATCTAAAGCCCTAAAGGTATTTCTTAATCCTCAAAGAAAGACCTATAGGAATTATTGTGAATTGCAGGTTTCTCTTGCTCTTGCTCATTATCTCTCTCTCATTTTTTTTTTAACTGCCTGAAATTTTTGTCACATTTTAGACAGCTCTAATTAGCATATTTTTACAAACTGGTGAAACGGGCAACATTTTCAATTTCCCTCTGAAAATGTTGTGAGGCAAAACACAGAAGAAACACCTACATGTAGAGGGTTCTGCTGTTGGCCTTGTTCCAAGCATCATTTCAAACTAGCTGAAAGAAATATAAGAGAAGAAGACGAGTTGCACTCTGCACTCACATATGGAACTAAAACTCTAATGACAACACAGGAAATTGGCAGCTAGTTCTGAAGGTGTCACACAAGAAAGTAAAGCATTACAAGAAATCTAGTTCATTGAACCTAACTGACATGAACAACAACAAACCAAAATTAGTAAAAAGAGGTGCCTAGGGCAATCTATTGTTGTTTATTTATTTTATGTTTCCTAAAGCTGCTTATTCCTTTTTTATTTTTTATGGATTTTGTGATATAGCAATCTTGCTGTGGTTAAACACTATATTCTGAGGGGGCAATCGATAACCTATATAAAGACAGGGGTCAGCGTACTCAACTGGGAATGGGACACACACTGATTCCAATCTATTCCTTGAGAAGATTTGAATTCCCATTTCTTTGGTGCATATGCAAATTGGTAGGTTATTAGGCAAACACTACTTTTGTGTGTGTGCATGTATATGTGCGTATGTATTCTGAAAATAGTGAAAATCAAGTAATAGAGATTATTATCCCCTTGCAGAGAAGATTTAGGTCTGTCCTACAGGTATTTCATAAGATCACCTAACATGCGCTCTTGCCTACATACTAACTACTGTGAATTACATTCTTGGTCACTCAGCTGTCTCTTATGTTATACAACAGGGCATACGACTTGAGGGTGGTGAGGTAGTTTCCACTTGGAGAGACGTACAAAGTCTTGTGTAAAGTCTTGTGGAACTGAAGCTTTTCCTCAGATCTTCCCTTTCTGTCAAAGAAGTTACACTCTCAATCTAATTCTGTTCTGTCTTTCTCTCTGCAACCTCTTTCAGGCCTTTTTCTCTCAGGCTTAATCATAGAATCATAGAATCATAATGATTGGAAAAGACTTTCAAGTTCATTGAGTCCAACCGGAAGCCCTTCAACACCATGCCTGCTAAACCATGTCCCTAAGTGCCTCATCTACACATTTCCTGAACACCGCCAGGGACGGTGACTCCACCACTGCCCTGGGCAGCCTGTTCCAATGCTTGACTACTCTGTCTGTAAAAGGTTCTGTTAATATGATCAGCTGAGGGTAGGTCTGTGACTGATTGGTGGTTCACTCCAATTCCATATGTGCATCATCCTATTCAGTAACTCAAATCTACATAATACTGTTAAATTGCATAAGGAATAATGAGTTACAAGTGGACTTTTAGCTTTTCAAATTCTAGTTTCTGTGATGGCTCATGGGGTGGACTCTCAGCTACTGACTAAAGAACAAATTAGCGAACAATATTTGTATAAGTTTTTTCTAGAGACTGAACTTGGGACCTTTAGTGACAAGAATAGTCTGCCATTTAGACAAAGATACACATTTTTTTAGTCAGACTCAGTAAGAGAATCATATATCTGTATATTTGGTCATCCTTTTTAGGATGACATCTGCTGCATTGCTATATTACTCTGGCCTGACTGGGAGAGCAGGTTTCTTTCTACCAGAGATTTTCTCTTTGCTGGGAACTCCAGCTAAGTTTGATTATCTGCAGTTAAGAACCTGTTGACCTTCCCATCCACATTTTGTGTACTATATCTGCATTCCTTCTGTCTTGTTGGCCTCATTTAATTCTGCCATACATTTTGGCCATGATTCAAGCTTCTATTATGGTCTTTTCTTAGGATATGAAACTATGGGTTACCCCTGGTAGTTGGAATATAACCTCTCAAACTCCACTATTTGACAGTTTCCATGCTTAAGAAGCATCATTAGTTTTGCACAGCTGTAACACAGTTATAGAAGTTTAAAATCTAGCAATTGGAAGGGATCTTATTGTTGTTTAGCTTGTGGCACATGCTCTCTCTCTCTCTCCTCCTGTGGTGCATGCTCTCTCTTCCTCTGTGGTGAGCACTCTGTCTCTCTCTGGCCTGCCCCCTCTCTCTGCTGTGGGATGATCTCTGTGGCACTTGCATGCTCTCTCTGTGGTGCACACTCTCTCTCTCTCACTCTCTCTGTGGCACCCTCACGCTCTCTGTGGCACACTCTCCCTCTCTGTGGTGTGCACTCTCTCTCACCCTTCTCTCTATCTCCTTCTCTCTCTCTGTAGCAGTATCTCTCTCCCTCACTGTGTGGTGCTTTCTGTCTCTATTACACTCTC